CACGTTTGAACATGAGACTGACATCATTGTGAGTTCATAGTAGTGAAAGAACAAAGTATCAGCCACAAATTAGACTGACCTAATTTTTAAGTCACTTCTAAAAACTTAATAACACAGTGTGTTGCTTGTGCAAGCTGTTTATTTCTAGCTCAGTCTCTTGCTACTTAATTTAAACTACAAGTTAGCCTTCTAAAATGTCAAAAGAGTTGTTCAAGAAGGTGTTTGTGTTTGAGGGGTTCTCCAAACTTCCTTCCTTGGCTCTTTTTCCACCCTGACCTCAGCCTTCAGCTAAAGGAAGTGATTAAGGACCACCCATCATATACCTTTATCCTTTAGGATCAGTTTCCTGGAGGTACAAGCTTAGAATTACATACCAAAACCTAACTCAGTCACATGGGCTGCTCACGTACAAGTTTCTTAGTGCAACTCTGCAGATTGTCAGAACACTTGCCATAAGTATCAACAAGAATGTATTTACAGTCAATAAGGTGTTAAAAAAAGTGATCAGTATTACTTATCGGTGAATCCACAGTCACTGAAGTAAGTAGTGCTTCTTCCATTGCTGAATACCTAATAAAAGGACCATGCATTTTGAAGGTGGTATCCTCTATTCTCCCTTCTAAGTATTTGTTAGATACAATGCATTACTTCAGTTACTGCAGGAGTACATTGAGCCCTCTTAGGTTGGGATTCCTTTGGCAAAAGTCAGTTCTTTTCTGGCTTCTACAAGAAGGACTTTGTAAGTCAGAGCACCTCTAGAAATTCTGTATAAGTATAAAATGTCCATATTGCTTTTCTCTGCTTTTCAAAATCCTGTAGGAGGCCAAGCAAGGCTGCTACAGGACATTTCTTGATGAAGACCTAAATCAGATGATAATAACAGAGTTTATTCACCTTATTTGATATTGAAATCATTTGTGATTTTAACTTTTAAAATCCTGGTCCCTCTTAATTCTGATTTTTAACTCACGTTTTGTCAGAAGTTCATAAAGGAGATCAATGTGTTTGGTGGTGCTACCACTTTTCTCCCTCTTCTTAAAAGGTGTAGAGGTTATAAAGGTGTAAGAGCTGCAGCTCAGGAATGTAAGTCACCTTTTGCTTTCTCCTTCTGCTGTAAAGATCAGTATGGCTTCCCTTTTCAGTCCTGCAGTTACTGTGCAAGAAGTGTGGCCTTGGCACCACTGCAGGCCTTGTTATAGCATGACTCAAATTCACAAAAATGCTTAGGATCCCATGGGAATAAACTACCAGAAGGCATGATGTGTAAGATGACCCAGTGAGCTGCCATCAACTGTGCTTTTGCTCTTGAACTGGGCTGCTTCATCCCATGTTACGTTGTCAGTGTGTGCTATCAGAGTTACACCGTGGCAATCAGCTTGGTTCCTGATCCATGTCTAGTTTGTTTTCTGCACCTCACCTGCAGTTCTGTCTTACTCCTTGTCTGGCTTCACTCTTTCCTGCTCAACACAGCCTGTGGGAGCTGAGAAGGCCTGATTGCTAGCAAGGACTCATGGCTGGAAACTGTTCCACCATGCTGGCTGTGAGCACTCATCCTATGCCATTACCTCTGGGGTCCCTCTTAAGGAGAAACCTGGCTAAGCTGATCTGCTTTACTGCATAAGGCTGAGTTCACATATGCATTTAGACGTTGGTGGGGCCCAGCATTCCTGCCACTGGCCGCCCCTTGGGAACCACAAGCGCGTGACTGCTGTGGTACATCTTGTAGGGCTCTTTTCTGTGTTTTATCACTGTATAACAAGCATTATGGCAGTGATTTTTGGTGTGAATTTGAGAGTAGTTTTAACACTGACTAGGTGAGCTTTGTAGATGCTGGTAGATGCTTCTCTATACTGCTGACAGGACATCCAGGCATTTCCAGGCACAAGCAGGAAGAAACAAAGTATTAATGTTGACACTTTAAAAAAAAAAAATTCCTTCCAAACTTTCTCATGCCCCGATGTGAACGGGTTGAGTGCGCATGTTGCCTTCCGGGAGAACTGGTGTCATTTCCTCAAATGGGTGAAAGGCCATTGCGTTTTAACCCATAGCTTACCATAAAAGCAGTTTACATGGCTCTTGTCCTCACAGGAGGCTGACTCACTGTGAGCTTTAGTCATTTGGTTTTAAAGAAGTGCCATTAAAAAGTATGCTGTAAGAAACTTGCCCCTGCCTTGCCCAGGAGCTATTCTGATTTGTTTCTCTAATAAAATACCATCATTATCCTCCGCCTTTAATCGGTCGTGGTGCTTGTATGGAGGCTTCAGATCTATCTTCTCTTTTTGTCGTAGAGTGACCACTTAGCAGATCAGAATTGGGTTTTTTATTTTTGGCTCCTTAGAGAATAGAAGAGTATTCTATTATTGCTTGAGGTGGTAGTGAGCAAGGCATGTATCCCATTGAGCCAGAGGCTGGGCAGCAAGCTTCATTAACTAAGATCTACCTTAGTTAATCATCTTTGCTAGATAAAAAACATTAAACTTAAAGGCTAACCATTATCTGAAGGCTTGGAGGAACTATCTTATCTTCTCTTTCGGAAAGCTTGTTAAGGAAATAGCAAGAACTTTTTGAACTGTTAGGCATGATGTTTATTTAGCGCTACTCTTGAGAGCACTCATTTGAATATTTTTCTTAGTACAGTGTCCTTATGTTGGTCTGTGTAGATGCAGAGAATGCTGCCGGTGATTCAGGGCACGCAGGTGGTGTAGGAGATGGAAACCTTGTCATGAACGTGGTTGCTGTAAACAAAGAGTAAGGAAACAGTGGGATCTCAACAACTTGATTCAAAAAGCAGTTTAACCCTGTAAGGGGTTGAGTTTGTATCTTTGAATTGCCTGCTAAAATCCAGTTGCTGTCAAAGACCAGCAGGTGTGGAATTTGCCAGCTGCCACAGCTAATTGATGGATCCTGTGTGCAGGAACCAGATAGAGCTCATGTTGTGATTTGTAAGAATAGGTGACTGTCTTCCCAGCTTGAGTACAATTTGTAAACTTTCACTCACTTAGCTTTGAGTTGGATCTGTTCAGACTATACAGATTTAAGCAGCTGAGTTTTAAAGCTTGCTAGTACTTGCTGAACAGACTAACAGGTTTTGTGCTAGAAGCTTCATACAAGAATAAACCTTTCAGGGAAGGAGTGGTACCAAGGTCCTTAGAAGGATGCTGTGGTGCTTGACTGCTCAGTCTCTCCTTGACTTTGGGCAAGTTTTTTGGAGAGCCACAGCTCTGTAGCTGTGGAAGGAACACTCCATGTAACTAAACTGGTTGGGTTCGTTCAGCTGCAGCTTAGGGAAGGCCCTGAGCAAGAAAGGAAAAAAGGCCTCTGACTCTGGAAAAGAAAAAAAGGTATTTAAATAAGGCCTGGAGGACCATACTTGTCAGAAGTAAGTCAAAAGGCAGGTAATTCACCCTAAATTAAGGGATGTATATTTTCCTAAAGTCAGCAGAAAAAAAATCCTCATCTCTAAATGATGAAAGACTTCTTTTTAAACTCTCTCCTAAACACGAATTGCTGAAGTTTCCCCTTTAAACTTGGGTGGCTCATTCATATTTCATTCAATTGTAATACAGCGACCTCTCTTTCCCTCCCCCCTCATACCACCAAGGCTAAGGAGGAGGAGGGGAGATATAAAATGTTTCCGAAAATTACAGGAAATGTCTGTTCCTTTAACAGCATTGCCAGGGAATTTCCAAATATTCTTAATGCTTGTGGCTGAACTTGCAGCAGCTCCGTCTTCAATCATGAGTGGATTGTATCCTAAAAACATGACACCTCATTCCAGTAAAACACATTGAAATGAAGTGTATGCTTTTTTTTTCTCATCTGCTCTTCAAAAAGAATCCTGCCATGTGGTGAAATGAGGGATTTGGGGGCTGCTTTAAATTCCTGATTTCTTTATATTCAATGAAGAGGGGAAAAGTATTCTATTATTGCTTGAGGTGGTAGTGAGCATGGCATGTATCCCATCGAGCCAGAGGCTGGGCAGCAAGCTTCAGATACCTGCCTGCAGGGCTTTGGCCTGGTGCTCTGCTGTTTGCATTGGCAAGGTTTATAGAGCAAGTACCCAAAGACAGCAAAGTGCTTCTTGTAGCTTCTTTCCCTGCAAGGTGACATTGGTATAGAATCTGTTCAGCAGCTCTCTGCCCTGTGCAGTAGTGGCTCTGCACAGTTGTGATATCATTTGCTTTGCGCTTGAAAGCCACTCCTGGGTTGCATAATATGGCAGTGCTTGGCAATAGTTTGTTAATGTGGTTCATATTACACTGATTAAATGAGGTTGTCATCTCTTGATAGTAATGATTTGAATCTTGCTTAACTGGCCAGGAAACAGTTTGGAATTGGCACTAATGTGTTTATTTTTACTTCCTCGTGTGAAGGTTGTAATTCAATTTGTTCATGTAGGAACAGCAAGTGCTTTTCGTGGAGTTTGTTTGGCTATGACTACATGAAACAACTGGTGACATCAGTGTTACCATTTTCCAGCGCTGGCTTTTTAGTGTGTGGGGAGGTAGTGTTAACTAGTGGAGTTCTGCTTTGTTAGACTTTGTTCATTCAAAATAAAGCTGTAATCAGACTGACAGCAATCTCCACTGTTGCATACTGAGTAAAATTTTGTGAATTTGCCTGAACTCATGCAAATATATCACCTACAGAGACTAGTTACAAATTAGTTATCTAGCAGAGAGACATCACTTTTTTTTTCCTAAGGCTACCATTGATTGTCTTTGTTTCTTTAATTATTATTTTATAAGAGTCTATACTTCTTAATGCTTGTAGAGATGCTTGCTTTTTTTTTTATTTTATTTTTTAGAAAATAAGTTGAACAAATTTTTTTATTTCAAATGTTTCCCTTTTAAATAAGTGCTAATGATTAGAGACCTCACCTAGGTTTTTAACTTTTAAGTTAAGGTTTTAAGTTCAGGGGATTTCTACAGCAAATGACTACACAAAGTATGATTTCCATTTTTTGACTTGTAATAAGGATCTTTTTCTTCCTGTTTTAGGTGTTTCCTTCAGCTGGCCTTTGTATGCAGACCACCTTTTGTCCTCTTCAGCCCATTCAGAATTTGACTCAAGTGTAGGTGAGTAATTGCTTTTGACATGAGACAGTAATGAATTACGGGCTGCAATAAAAGCATTCCAGAATTTTTGGCTGATCTGACTTAGCTGCCATATGGGAGAATAATCTTATAAAATCCATTGAAAATTTTCCCGGTTGTCTAGTGTCTAGCTAAGCTTTTCTTCTAGATGTCAGAGAGCTAAATGATGTCAATCAACAGTGGAAAAAGTATTTTGAAATAGAGCTTAGTGCTTGTATGGGTGGAGAAGAGTCCTCACGTACAGTGTATGAGCTGTTGAAGGGAGTGATGTAATGTATCAACAGCATGTTCTGACATTTCTCATGAGCGCATATTCTGTCAGCCAGGTTTCCCTGCTATAACATGAAATAAATGTTTATGATTCCACAATGAGTGTCGGACTGGTTGGCTTCTTGGCAAGTGCAGATGATGATAATCTGGCTCATTGTTTTGAGTTGGTGATGATGTATGAATAATTTGTGCAAGAGCATTGTGTGTATTTGTGAAATATGTTGAGTAGGTCACCAAAATGTGGGTTTTTTTCTTTTTTTCCTTTTTTTTTTTTTTTTTCAGAAGAAGAGATTATCTTATTTCTATCACTATTATTTGTATAAAAAGCAATAGCTCACTGGTTCCTACATGGAAATTCTATTTATCATGCTTAGCCCAGCTCTCTGAAAGTTCCATCACTGAAAATGTCATGGAGCAATAGACGTAGAAACAAAGAACTTAAAAATCTAAGCTGGAGGTGTATTTGTGTACTTTACTCTTGGGAAACTGATTTCTTCTCCATCTCTCGATGTCTCAGTTCTCTGGGGTGAGCACAATTAAATTGAGTGACTTTTCTTTAGAACTAGTAATCAGAACAGACTCAGTTAAGTATGATGAAAGACAATAGACCACTGAACAGAAAATTCTTCTTCATGTGTTTTTTCCAGTGGATTATACTTGGTTTATTCATGAGAGTACAGTGTGTAATCTAAAATGCATATGGCTACTGTTTCTGCAAGAAAATTATTACTGACACATTTTGGTTGTGTATACAGATCTAAAGAACAGATCCCTGGAAGAAAGACAGGAGGGAGAAGCCACCCTGATCATACAAAGAAACAAAGAAAAGTAGGGTGATATTCTCAAATCTGCTTCTCTTTTTTGAAGATGGTACTTCAGTGGCATTTTCTAAGTAAATAAAAAAATGTGTATGTTGCTGTTTGAGAGGTGTCCTCAGTACACTCTGCCATTGCACTAGAGTGTGCTGGGGAGGGAAGGAAACTGTCATTGTTCTACCACTCCCAGCTGATCTGAGAAAATGATCTTTGTAGAAGGTGGTTTTTTTTTAAGACATTTGCTTAAGTCAGCTGAACAGCTAAAAGACATCCTCAGTCTCCTCAGCTGATGAACATGAGCCCTTGCATCTTTATTAATAGGCTCATCTTTTAAATTACAAGGGTTTGTAATCTCTTTCCTGTGTGGTCTCTATAATGACGAGCAAGACATGGGTTTCTTGTAATCTGTTACATTTTTTTCCCAAACTTCACACTTTATTGCACAATTGTTGTCTTTGGAATGTATTAGCATGTTTGGTGAATTCAGGGGAAGCATTTCTGTCCCTTACTTTTACTAGAGATCTTATTTCCCTTATGCTCCGTAAACACTTTCTGTTTCTCACTACAGATAATCATCTGTAGTGAGATCAAGGATGATCTCACCCTGTCCTTGATGCTCACTCAGTCTCTAGTAGCTTAAGCGACAAGCATCTCTTCTTTTATTTCTATCTTTCTGAGGCTGGTGAGGCAGTGCTGAGGCATTGCTGAGATGTTGGAAGAAAAATATCTTGTGAGTGGTAATTAACCCCTGTGACCCCTAGATTGGGAATTCCTCTCTGCTGCAGGAGGTTGTGTGGGCCTATTTGCTCAGTATCACATGCAGTGAATGGTGTTGCTTGTCAGGGCACCAGCTATTGAACCACTGGCACCTCTCTGCTCAGTAAAACTGAAGCCCAGTATTCCTGTAGGAACAGCTGATGTGCCCACAGTGGCATGTGTACTGCAGTTTAGAAACTCATAGCTCTGCGTCCTGGTTTAGCTTTTGGTTTTCTTTTTGTGTTGGTGTCCGTTTTGAAAAATATGAAAGTGAATCTGATTATAGGAAAGAATATTCTGGAGTATCTGTAAAGATTTTGGGCAAGCATGGATTCGTCTCTTGCTTTATAGGGAGTTAAAGGTTTAATTTTCTTATTTAAAAGAGGTAAGAAACAGTGCTGTATACCTCAGTCCATCTGAATGAGGAAGAAGCCTTGCAGTATCACCAATGGGTGACTTCATTCAGTATTCTCATAGCTGGGCTATGTTTCACTTTTTCTCAAAACTGATTTCAGTGTAGAACATCCTGTGACTAAGATGGTTTCCTAGTTTGAAGATCAGCCACATAATGGCCAGGACATTATACTGCATAATCTTATGAAGCCATGGTGTCAATACATACTATTGCAATCTAAATCACAAGTAGAGCACAGAAAGAAAAGAGTCGAGAAATTAAGTTTGGCCTTTTTACAAACAATGATTGAAATGAAACAGATATTTCAAACACCTCTTAACAGCTGGATGATAAAAGCACTTGCCAGGAAAGGGAGGAGATCTCTAGTGTTTACCCAAAACAGGAGACTGCCAGTTTCTCTTGTTTAGATTGGTCCCAAGAAGGAGTCCAAAAGTCTGATAGTCCCAGAAATTGAGAGAACAAAAACCTATAACTGAAATACTGTTTTGACAGGATCAGCTCCATTGGGCTGGAGAGGAACAACATTTTTATCAACCACGGTAATTTGAGATGACATTACTGTTAAGTTTATTACTTTCAAGCCATGGGCAGAGAAGCTTTCCACTGTGTTAATACATTGCTAAACGTTAAAGTAATAGTGATATTCAAGAGGACTTTTAACTGGTAGCCCATTTTCATTAACAAACACGTTCTTTTACCTAGTAACCATACTATGATAAAGTAATAGAATGGCATAGATCAGAAGGGACCTTAACAATTACCTAGTTCCAACCCACCTGCCATGGGCAGGATTGCCACCCACTAGATCGGGTTGTCCAGGACCCTATCCAACCTGGCCTTGAACAACTCCAGAGGTGGGGCATCCACAGCTTCTCTAGACAACCTGTTCCAGGGTCTCATCACCCTGCTGAGTAAAATCTCTTCCTAACAATTAATTTAAATCTCCCCTCTTTTACTTTAAAGACGTTCCGCCTTGTCGTATTACTATCAGACTGTAAAAAGCTGGTCTCCCTCCCGTTTATAAGCTCCCTTTAAGTACTGGAAGGACACAGTGAGATCTCCCTGAATCCTTTTCCAGGCTGAACAAGCCCAGCTCCTTCAACTTTTCTTTGTAGGAGAGGTGCTCCAGTCCTCTGATAATCTTTGTCGCCCTACTCTGGACATGCTCCAGCAGCTTTACATAATTCTAGTTCTGAGAGCTCTAGGCTTGGATGCAGTAATGCAGGTGGGGCGTTATGAGGGTGGAACAGAGGTGTACAGTCACCTCCCTCACCCTTCTGGCCACCTGTCTTCTGATGCAGCCCAGGGTGCAGTTTGCCTTCCAAGCTTAGAGTGTACACTGTTGGCTTGCATCAAACTTTTCATCCATCAGAAAACACAAGTCCTTCTTGGCAGGGCTGCTCTTAATGAGTTCTTCTACCAGTGTGTGTACTTACATGGGACTGTCCTGACTCAAGTGCCATACCTTGCCCTCAGCCTTGTTGAACCCCATTAGGTTCACATGGCTCACTTCTGCAGCCTGTCCATGTCTCTCTGGATGGCTTCCCATTCTTCTGTTGTATCAATTGCGCCACTCAGCTTAGTGTCATCAGCAAATCTGAGGGTGCCGCTGAGGGTGTACTCAGTCACTGTTTGTGATAGAGATGTTGAAGAGCACCTACCTCATGGCACACCCCTGGAGGCACCACTCACCTCTGGCCTCCATTTGGACTTCAGTTCTTTTAAGGGATTTCTGAAACAAACTGAAATTGTCATCCAAGAGGGAAGGGTGTGACAGCAAGCAAAAAGTGCTTAGGAGATAAAGAATATACCCAAGTTGAAAGTTGCAAATTATAGATTACATATTTCTAATAGCCTCCATTTTGATATTCTGTGGTTTCTAGAGCCTCAGCTGCTTTATTTTCCTTTTGTTACTTTAAGTCAGCATTTTACCCATCAGAACAAACTGTCTAGTTCGTGAACAAACTGTCTAGCTCATAGAAGCTAGAGCCAATTCCCACTATAGCCAGTGGAAAAGTTTTCATTAATTTCAGTGGGCTTACTATCTGGCAGCTTCTGATGCAATAAACATCTCCCCCAGGAAAAAAAAAAAAAGGGAAAAAGAAAGAGAGAGATTCACAACTCATGACAGGACATGTTAAGGAGAAACAAACAAACAAACAAAAAAATGCAGAATGTTTTTTCTTTCTTTCCTTAAAATAAAAATACAACTATGGAGCTTCATTCTTTTCCCCTCTACGTAATAGTGCAGTCTTTTGATACCTTTCACCCTGTCTGCAAAGAGCCCAAGGCTAGTAAATGATGACTGCTCTTTGAGGAGGAGCACACTTTCCAATCAAGTTGTAAAGATAGGGAGTTTTAATAGGCTTAATTAAGGCTTGGGACAGTACATTTTCCAATATATTTTGTAGGTGAAAGCAATATACATTTCCTTGCTATATGCTGCCAATTACTGGAATAAGCTTAAAATCATTAGTGGTACTATAATAGTAGTAGTCAGGGCATTTAAATTATCACATTCTGTCAACCTCATGGTTGTTTATATGAAACCTCATGTTTTTCTTATATGGGTACATAAAACTCTGTATTTGTTGAAATGTGGAATTAAGTTTGTTATAATTTTCCTGTTTAAAATTTTATTTATTGTGAAAGTGAAGTATGCTATTGTTATAAACTTAATTCATTTGAGAACTCATACATGTAGGTTTATATATTATCTCTGATAAATAAAATATCTGCTGATTTCAGATTTCTAACTGCTAAACACAATTGTCTTTTGCCATAACAGGACTTTTAGTAAAAATTAAAATGAATGAAATCATTTGGAAGTGAAACAATAAGTCAACTCTACAAATAAAGTGCAAAAATTTTTAAATGAGCCTGTTAAAGTGAGAATGGAAAATTCTGCATGTTAAAAATCTGCTTTAAAAAAATCTTCCTATGTACTTCTATGTACGTTAGGAATACAGGAAAATGTCTCTTCCTGATATGCTCCTGTTTGCAAATGTGTCACTGCCTGAAGAAAGAGTGTCAGTGAATCAGATTTCTATCTTTGTGACTCAAGTTTGTTGAGTCACTTTAATTTGTTCCAGCCAGCAGAAGGCAAAGGTAGAAAGACTGCTTGGGTCTCAAGCTAAATAGCGTGGGCCACTGTTGACATATGAGTTGCTGGAGTGTCTACTTTCTTGTGTGAGAGGTGTTGCATAGTTTTGCTGACCTAAAATCACTTCCCAGACAGGGAATGTTATGGTGTGAAACGCACAAACTTGGTAAATGTAGTTTCTTGGCTTTAGCCAGCTCTGACTTGAGCCCAGATTGTTCATTCCAAACCAAGCTGCCATACTAATGAGGTGAGGGGCTCTTACTGGGTTAATGCTTTGGTGTAAAGGCTCCAACATGTGAGCACCACCACCACAGCTGAAAAAGCCAGCATACTTGGCTGTCTCCTTTTGGAGGAGCTGAAGTGTCTTGTGGAGCTTGTGCTCTGGAGCTGCAGTTTGTAGCCTTATACAGATGGCTGTATGTAAATGTGCACAATTACACTGAGAAACCAAGTGCTGCTGAATGGGGAGGAAAGCCAGGTGACTTCTGCTTTCTGTAGGTTCTATAGTTTTAGCACAAAATGCACTGAACTGGAAGGTAAGCCACTGTGGTGGCTGTTCCTCAGGTGTATTCCTGCAGAAATGTGTTCCATCTTGGGGGATTGTACAACTGAAGTCAGTGCTATTATTGGATGATGAAATGTCTCAGGTAGACTATTTACTGCTGTACTGATGTACCATTTAGGTTGAAGTGGTCAGGGTCTAATTTCACAAAACTGTAGTTTGCTTCAGTTACTATTAGCATGTGTGAAAAATGCACTTCACATAATGATCCCATGGGCTCCAGAGGGCCCAGAGACTGTGCTCAGTACCATACCTTACAGCAGTGTGTTTAAAAGGCCTCTGTTTCAAGTTTGGTGATTAATTCAAATAAAATATATGCATCCTGATGTACCATCTTATGTTTCTCTTCAACCATATTCTCAGAAGAGAAACATGGATGTTTTGCAGAGCTGGTCTGCAAAATGCTTTCCAAGGCATTACATTTTAAAAATGTATCGTAAGTTTTTACTTCTTACTTAAATGGTGAAGTGCTGAAATGCATCTAACTCATTCTGCTCTTGAAAGGAATAACAGATTTAGGATAGTGTCTCTTAATTACATTCTAACAAGTCTCGTGAAGAGGGAGAGGTAATGGCAACAAAAGTCTGCAATTAAGGCAGGGTATGTTGCCTTAAAGACAATAAAATTGTGAAGGCAAGATTGTTGGAATAGATTCAAACACTGTAGTTGTAAATTCTCACCCTCAGATGTTTGGAATATTCAGCAGAGGGGAACTTTTCAGGATTGTATTTATTATGTGGTACAGACTGCTGTGCAGTTAGCCTCAACGGTGAACATTTTGTTCTGCATGCTTCATAGCCTCATCTGGTTTATGTTTTTTTTTTTTTTTAATCTTCCCCTTCTTGCAGGCTCTCAGTCCAGTGTAAAGATGATGGTTGGGAGCAAAGGTAAAGAATGATGTAATGCAGCGGCATCCAGAAAGCATCTTTTGTGAGAATTGTGCAATGGCTACTCCAGTCATCTCCTGATGAATCAGATGTGAAGGGTTGCTCTGTGGAATGAGCCCTTTGTAACGGCACATCAACTGGAAGCAGGAGGAGACATTCAGCTGAAGAGCTCTTTCTGAAAATGGGTTTAACTTTTCTTTTGCCAGTCACTACCAGCATGACCTCATACACTTCTAGTACAGTGCTGTGGCTAAGCCTTTGAGTACACAGCCATTACATCATTGCAGCAAATTAGAGAGGGAGGTGGTGAAAGAGGCCTCATTGTTGTCATGGCCGATGAGATGATCAGCACTCAACTCATTGTCGCCGAGAAGTTGGTGGCTTTGCTGGAGAGTGGTACTGAAAAATTGCTGCTGATTGACAGCCGCCCCTTTGTGGAATACAATACGTCCCACATCTTGGATGCCATCAATATCAACTGCTCGAAGCTTATGAAGCGGAGGCTGCAGCAGGACAAAGTTTTGATTACAGAGCTCATTCAGCATTCAGCAAAACACAAGGTAGGGGGTATTTTCCTGTTATTCTTTCTATTGGTTTAAAAATGTGCCCAGAGAGCAACTTATTTCAGGCATTTTAGTTTGAGGGGAAAAAAATATATATGGGGGAGGCTGAATTTTGCAAAGACTTTACTGGATTTGACATACTGTCAGTTAACACAAAGTTTATCGTTGGTATACTTAGTAGCAGTGTCTGAATGACAGATTAACATGTAGGGATCTTAAAATTAACAAGTATTCTTGTAAATCATGTAGATCACAGTCTCTTAAGTGTATGCAGTGAATGCAGTAAGCATTCACATTCTAAACTTTGAAGGATTCTTTGGGCCCTGTGGTGATAAGGATTGTGAGCAAGAGGTCATACAGTTCAGAAAGAAACTGTAGCTCTGTCAATCCTGGCTCTTGCTTCCTGTTTAAAGTGCTTTCAATGTGAATAGTCTGATGGGTTTTTAAATAGAGTTATGAGCAAAAAGAAAATAACTAATCTGTTTAAACATAATAACTATCCAGTGGTTGTTTTTTATATATATCTTTAATCCACTGGTACTTGTTTCGAATATTTTGGAAGACAGAAATAATCTGTGTACTATGTTCTTGCTTTCACATATTAAAAGTTGAAGCCTTTTTATTAGTTTGTGTGTTTTATACATATGCTCTTATTGATGGCTGAAATGTGTGTGGCTTTAGGCAGTTTAAGGTCTCTTGTATTTGTAAATGAAAAATACTGAAGTAGGAAATGAGATTGGACCTTCCTTTAAAGAAAAGCATTTGTTGTTTGAAAAAAAAAAAAAAAAACAGCTGAAGGTAAAGCATTAACAGGTGACATAAAGTTATCCAGTGGTTGAAATTTGTAGTGTATGCTTCAACTTAGAGCAAATAATCAATACAAAAACTCTCAAAGGAAGTACACTTGATCAGGAAAAAAAAATAACTAGCAATAATACAAATTGATGTGCATACAGCCATGTATGAAACCTATGTATCTGAAGTACTGCACAGCAAACATATAAGAACCCTTAGCCTGACTTCATGCAGATGATAATGTGGTGGTTTTTTTAATCATCTTCCTCTTCCCTGTCTTACCCTCAATTACTTATATTTCAGATTGAAATTGATTGCAAGCAGGAAGTAGTAGTATATGACCAAAGCTCTAAAGATGTGACCTCTCTCTCACCTGACTGCTTTCTTACTGTGCTCCTGGGCAAACTGGAGAAGAACTTCATCTCTGTATATCTGCTTTCAGGTATGATTACCATGAGAAAAAAAACTCTTGAATAAGAAGGGAAAAAGAAAAATGAAAAGAAAAAAAAAAAAAACTACTGTTACAGTTGTTAAGTACACAATTTTATGGACTATCCGCAGCTTAATTTTCATGATGGAAAAAAAAATCAGCTCTAATCAAAAAGACTTACACCCTAAAGCAGAGGAGAGCATTCTAAAACTTCCCTTTCTTCTTCTCCTCTACATCTGTAGATTAGTGTCATGAAACATTAGTTTGGTCATCCCCTGCTGGATCCCATGAAGAAGATGGTCAGGGGGTCTCCATCCTCACACTTTGGCTTCTGTGGAAAGGGATGGTACCAGAAAAGGAGTGTGTTGCAGCTCCCCAGTTCATAGTCTGGGCAAGCACCAGTTGTGCATCTCATAATGAATAGGAACTTTTTTTCTTTTCTTATATCTAGTGCATGGTAATTATCTGATTCAGTTCAAACTGAAAATGCAACTTAAACTCATTGTGAGATCGTAGTGTTCATTAGCTAGAGAGGTGAATTTATCCATGTGCAGCTGGTAAAGGTTTGTTTGGGTGTTGGAGGGAAGAAGTCTAATATGTTAAAGACCTCCTTATTTTTATTTGAACATTTCAAATACCAATTCAATTCAAATGTCTCTTAACAAAAATTAGATCTGAGTTTCCTTTTTGGTTAAATAGATAGTGAAGGGGATGTTTATAAATGCAGAAACAGCGGAGTGCTAAAGTTCTAAAGAGCTGATGATAGAAGAGAGAAGGAAAAAAAAAAAAAAGAAAAATGTAAAGAAAGTGTTTACTACTGATTTATTACAGCTGAATGCTTTTCCCAAGAAATAAAACCAGTTAAGATGAATCTGTAGTAAAGTAACTAACATAACAGGGTGAAGTGACAATAGTTTTTCTTCTCTTACAGTGATTTTGTTCTGGTTTTAATCTATGGGTGATGAAATAGCTGTCAGTATCATTTAAAAAAAAAAAAAATCAAAAAACTAGCTACTTAAACAAAAGAGACATTTGGAGGAGGAAGGAGGAAGTGCTAGATTCCAGGTTATACAGTGGTCCTTGGAGTTTCTTGGTATGTGGATAGAAAACTAAATAAAACGTGTAGTTTCAGTGACCTGATGACCAATGCTCATAAACATTTATTGCTTATAATGAGAATAGGGGTCAATGCACTGTGTAAAAAGAAAAAAACCTTTGTACTTTGGTTTTCCCTAAGCCACTTGATTAGGTTTATTTAAAACAGTGACCATAAATAAATATTAAGTAGTAGGAAAATATTTTTTGTTGTTGAATAAGCAGCAATTAATAAATTTCTGAAATTCCTCCGTCTGTTCTTCCTGCCTCCTCCCCCCATTACTGGGCATGCAGTAAGTTTTTTTTTATTATTATTTATTTAGGTTTTGCATAACGGTATGTTCAACCCTGAAGGTAGTTTTCCATCGAAGTAACTGATGTAAAGGCTTCAGGGGAACCCCTAGTGATTAGTTTAAGCTTTTGATCTGACTTCATAAAAATATTTATAATCTGGTGAGGAATATTCTCAGGAATTTAAATATTTGTTTTGATTCTTAGTTTTTAACTGTACCCAAAATATTGAACTGCGGATGCTGGAGGCTTAACCTACCCCCACCACTGCATTTACTCTGCTGGATTAAATAAGGCCTAAAGATGGAGATGTGACAATCTTAATAATGTTTAAGAACTGGATTTAGTTTTATGAAGTCCTGTTCCTAGTTACAGTATTTTTACAGTCTTGAGATATTTCTGCTTGCTCTGCAGAAACAGCTGAGAGGGATTACTGACTCTCTTTTGATGAATTAGCATTATTAAGGTGGGAAACAGCAAAAGTCTTGCTTAAATCCTATTCTACTTGACCAGTGGAAAACATTCACATTCTGCTTTCCTAAAACATTTGCTCTTCCCTTCTCTTATCCTCGTTTGCTCCTACTTGTGCAAGTACAAATATCTTAATGACAGATACCTTTGAAATGTTGCCTGTGGTGAGAGAGAAGTGGAGAAATTTAAGGGTGTGTATGTGTGTGTGTAGAAAATTTACTCTAAATAGGATTTCTGACTTTCTTACCTTCCCCGGGGCGGCGCCCCCCAAAAAAAAACCAAACAAACAAAATAACAACAAAGCAGAAATTCTTACCTTTCCAAATTTCCAACCTAAGATTAAATATTATGATAGCATAATACAAAAACACTCTGCTGGCTCTGAACTAAAACTTAAAACAAGGATTAATGCACCTGGGTGGATGTGGAACAATGGTAAATATCTAAGAGGAACTAAATAACCATTACAGGTAATTTAGTAGCACTGAAAGAGTTTCACTGAACTAAGTAAGAATTTACTGCTGCAAGAACAGCATATTTTTGCCAGCAAACTATGAAAAACATATTTTCATTTTTTTGTCAGTCATTGATTTGCCACTTAGACTTGCTTTACCTGAGTACTCAGTACCAGACCTGATCTGCAGATGTAATCAGGATTGCACATGCCTAAATATTGTCTGTAGAAAGCTTAATTTGTGATCAGAGATGAAGCTTCCATGCTTCAGTGGATGAATCAAAGACTGCTGGGAAAGGACAACTGGTCTCACATCCACGTCAGATGGGAGTTGTCCTGAAGAGGAGTCTACAGACTTCTGCGGACTTCACTGCTTACTGCATAAGTTATTTTTTGTAGTTGAAAAAATCAATAGCAAAGAATAGCAGGTTTTCAAGGTGAACACAGTGAAGGCCATATGTGACTCACAGATTGCTGAGTCAGGAAGGTGTACACCACCATTCTGAAACCTCTGTTGAATGTGGGTGCCATCACCCCATAAAAAAGTTGCATTGACTGGCAATAGAAATTCAAGAGGTGAATTGTCTACTAACCTCTGCTACAGTTCTGCTTTTGAAAACTGTGAGCAATTAAATGATTTAATGGATTTTGCTTTCATGAGACCTCTCTGATAAGTTTTTACAGAGCACAAAGCTGCTGTGATAAGCAGAAAGGCATTAATTATTAATTTTGCATTCAGCACTGAATGCTGATGACAAACAGTGATCAATGAAGTTACAAATGCATGAGTATGAAAAGAAAAAGCAAACAGAATGAGTTCAGTGAGACTGGACAAAATTCCTGAAAACAAAATAGCAAGAGATTAGCCAGAGACTGTTGCAAGTGGTGTTTTAGTTGAAACCCCAAATCACTGTTTCCCTATGATCTGTCTCCCTCACTAACAGCAGGTATACAAAGTGGTAGACTTGCACGGAGGACGCAGAGAAGGAAACAAGTGAAAGAGCTTTTTACAGTTCTGTTTATGCTGGCATTTTTCTTAAAAAATATTTGAAATCATAACTTGATGTGAAGGAGTCCTAATGCAGTAATGTCAGTATCTCCAGGGTATGTTTACCACAGTATTTTCTCTACTTACCTAAAGCAAAGCTAAATGGAAAAGAAAGCACGGTGCTTGCTTTCTCACTAGAAAGACTATGTCTTGTGGCAGAGGAGGAGGAAATCTTAAGGATATACTTTTATAGGTAGGGCTAGTCATTTCCATCTCTCGAAGCAAGCAGGGTTGAAAAGCTGAGCTTTTCTCCCTACTTCTGCAACCCCACGTCCAGGTAGGAGGGTACCTTGTGTGAACTAAAAGATGATGTGAGTTAGTTGCAGTTTCTTCGACTGGTACATTTCTAACACCCTAGCATTTATTAATGTTTGGAATTGGAGTTTATAATAATCTTTGGTTGTGGCTCAAGTTGTGAGCAAGTCTTTGGAACATTCCTCGAAGAGAAGAGCACATCCCCAAATGGTGGTCATTAACATATTCAAGTTATCTGCACATTGGAATAATAGGGAGCACAAGCAGTTAAATATCTCGCTGACCTTCAAAGGAAGAAGGAACATCAGGTTTCCTTGTACTCTGTTGATGCCATTAGAAGCAAGTCTAATGAAAAAGGCAGAAGTCTTGCAGAGCTGATGCGGTATTCCCTCTATGAATATAGAAAAATTAGTACTCTTGGCTACAGCTGCTCCTTTGCTAACGTTCTCCCAACCCTTGTTTACTTAAAATGAAGCTTTGAGTGTTCACTTAGTGCCATGATTGTTTTAAGCACTTGAAAAATGGGAGTAGGGTCTATTACTTTCATATGTGTATTTTTTTGCTATCTTATGAGAGAGCAAAGTTTGACTAGCATGAAGCTCTCATAATATTTCTCAAATCCAAGAATAACTTGTTAACTTGGCTTTTGTTTGGGATATCTCTGGATGTTTGTGAAACTTAATTGACTGCAATCATGACTGGGATTTCTTTTTTAAAAAAAGCAGAAGGGTCAACTGTGAGAGTCTGTTCCCCATGCTTTGCTGTTAGTGTGACTCTCCTGCTGCTACATGCCACCTGGGTGGGAGGATGGAGCTGACTCCGTTCTCGTACCCCTAGCCTTGTTTGCTTAACCTGCCTATTAACCTTCTCTTACCAAAGGCAGAAACCCTTGGGGCAAAGAACTCCCTTCACTACTGTGCTTGTAAAATACTTAGCACAACAGAGCCACTTTCTAAACACTGCCGTAATAATAATAAGTTTTCTGAAGGTGAAACTTGAGTCTACTGAACAAAGTGCAGGCGACTGATGAGAGGGAACTGGAAGGGAAGCATGGAGGAGGAGTACAGTCCATTGGGATTGCTGTGCTGCTGGTAGAGCTCTGCAGCCCCAGCCTGTGTAATGGAAAACGGAGCAGCCCTGCCAGCTGAGCTGGAATGCAGGAATTGCGATGGTCTGCGGAGCTCTGCAGCTCGTCTAAACAGCGTGGAAACATTGGAGATTCCTAAAACTCTGAGTCAGAGAGCTTAGATCTTTTACTCATTATGGCAGGGGAAAAATCTATAGTACGGCTTGTAGGTAAATATTTTAATGTGCAATGGGAATGTGACTGTGAATGTGTTAAGTTATGACATTAATCAGATCACAGGCTTTTACACATGAGTGTTTTGTACATTTTCT